ATTTCAGTTCCTGCTTCCACATATCAGCAACTCCCATCTGCATTGAAACAGCGGATTTAGCTTCACAGAGCCGTGCAACAGATCCGGTTATGGTCTTTTGACAAGTTGCAGTTATCGGTGCTAATCAATTTCCTGATCACACACACAGCTGATGTACTAAATTTTATTAACTGTTATAGAGTCATAGATTCATACAGCATGCAAACAGACCCTTCGGTCCAACCAGTCCATGGCAACCATAACTCCAAACTAAACTAGTCCTACCTGCCTGCACTTGGCCCATATCCCTCCAAACATTTCTTAGTCACATACTTATCCAAATGTCTTTTGAACATTGTAACTGTGCCCGTATCCATCACTTCCTCTGGTAGTTCATACCACACATGAATCATTCTCTGTGTAAAAAAGTTGCCCCTCATGTCTGTTTTAAATCTGTCTCTGCTCATGCTAAAAATATGTCCACTAGCTTGGAACTCCACTTGGGTAAAAGACATTTGCTATTCACCTTATCTACGCCCCTCATGATTTTATGCTCCAGTGAAGAAATCCCAGCCTTTCCAGTCTGTTTTTATAACTCAAACCCTCCATTGCTGGTAACACCCTGGTAAATTTTTCTGAGCCCTCTCCAATTTAATAATATCTTTCCTATAACAGGGCAACCAGAACTACACACAGTACTCCAGAAGAGGCCTCACCAACGTCCTGTACAACCTCAACATGACGTCCCAAACTCCTTTCCTAGCATGGAAACAGACTCTTCAGCCCAATTCATCCACGCTGACCATGTTTCCTAAATTGAACCTGTCTGCATTTGGGCACATCCCACAACATTTCCCATTCATGTACCTGCCCACATGTCTTTTAGATGTAACAGTACTCACCTCTATCACTTCCGCTGGCAGCTCATTCCATATACACACCACCCTCTGAGTAAAAAGTTGCCCCTTAGGTCCCTTTAAATCTTTCCCCTCTCACCTTAAACCTATGCTGTCTAGTTTTGGACTTTGCAACCCCAGGGAAAGACCTTGGTTATTCATCTTATCTCTGCCCCTCGTGATTTTGTAAACCACTCAGGCTCCTACATTCCAGGGATTAAAAAAGTTCGAGCCTATCCTTACAACTCAAACCCTCCTGTCCTGGTAACATTGGGTAAATCTTTTTTACACCCTTACTGAATGATTTCAAAAAAGTGCTCCCTCACTACTGACCCTCCGACAGTGCGGCGCTCCCTCAGCGCTGGCCCTCCGACAGTGCGGCGCTCCCTCAGCGCTGGCCCTCCGACAGTGCGGCGCTCCCTCAGCGCTGGCCCTCCGACAGTGCAGCCCCAATATTTGTGTTTCAATCTGGTATGTTTAATAACAAAGACATGCGAACACAATGAGCTGCTCTCTGTGATTGAAGTTGGTTTTGCTGAGATCAGCAATGATCATTTGCTGTGGTCCTCTTTGCCAGGTGCTGAAGCAGTGACTCTGTCCGTATCCAGCCCCATTCAGAGGCATCAAACCCCACCACAAACCAGGCAGGATCTTGTGCAGTGTGAGTATCAGCAAGGCAGCCTGTGACTGAGTTACAATCTGAATTATGATTGAGCAGCAGCTGACAGGCCCTGGCGGTGAGAATGCCTCTTGTGGTTGAATAGCCAGAATTACAGTGAATTATGATGACAGTGGCGTGTGGGATGTTGGGGTCAAAGGGTGATGTTGGATTGTGATATGCACTTACCTCTGTTGTGTATTGCAGACTTAAGTGTGGTGACCTTTGACCCAAACACAGCGTCGGATTGGCTGCTACTTTCAGATGATCTGAAACTTGTGACCAATACGCATCCCAAGAACCAGAATTATCCCAAACACAAGGACAGATTCACTCGGCAGCACCAGGTGCTGGCAATCCAGGAGTTTGCAGCTGGCATCCATTACTGGGAGGTATCGGTCTCTGGGTGCTCGGTGCGTGTTGGCGTAGCTTATCGCCAGATAAATCGGACTGACCGTGGCTCTGCCTCTATCATCGGGGAGAATGAGGTCTCCTGGTGCCTGGAGCTGGACCAGGGCAGTGGGATAGCCTGGCATGATAACAGGAAAAGTGATCCAGTTCCTGTCCCGTACCAGTGTCTCGGCCTCCTGCTGGATTTTCCCTGTCAGACCTTGTCTTTTTATGGTATCCGTGACCATGCAATCCTGCTCCTGCACCAATTCCAGACCAGCTTCACCCAGTCCCTGCTTCCAGCTTTCCAAATCAGCCGGCAGACCAGGATCCAGATTGAGAATAAGACTCGCAAACCAGAAAGACAGATCCCAATTGGAAACAGATCCTGATTCTCAGGATCCCAGTTGAAAAATGGTCCAGACCCTCAGGGTCCCAATCAGAAATAGATCCTCAACCTCAGGATCCCAATTGTAAATAGATTATGAACCTCAAAATCCCAATCAGAAATAGCTCCTGACTGTCAGAATCCCGATCAGAAATAGATCTGGAGCCTCAGGATCCCAATCAGAAATAGATTCTTATCACTGCGATCCAGATCAGGAACATGAACCTGACACGTATTTTTTGGAGCATTATTCTGTTCAGTGGCATCTGACAGAGTTCAGAGAGAGAGAGAACGTGGACGGGAGGAGAGCTTTATAGCGAGACTGAAGGAAACAGTTAAATGGAGAGGGAAATAGGATAGAGGGAGGGACAGGGGGAGGACCAGGAGCAATGAGGGAGGAAGAGGAGAGTCACGTTCCCCTCATTGAAGGTTCCTGACTCCTTAACCTGGGGCAGGTTTCAGGAGCAGGCACCTGAAAAAGCGGCTGCAGGGGTTACCCCATCCGCTCTGCGCTTCTGTGGGAAATTAAAACGAGAACTTGGCTAAACCACAGAGAGTACATAGGGAACAGGCGCTGTCCACAAACTGAACCATAAAGGAAGATCCGATCAGATTGAGAAACAGCAGCCCTGTCCTAACACTGGGGCTCTGTATACCTAGTGAAGAGCTTGTCACTGATCAGGAATGATAATCTAGACCATCACTTAGGTGCTGGTTGTGTTTACAAACCCCTTTGGGAAAGTCCAATTTACAGCAGTTAGAACTACAAAATAACCACCGCTATTTAAAAACAAATTCTCATTTCCCCTCAGCTTATTTCACTGATAATCCCCACTTCCTCCTCATTCACTCTATTAAAAGCTCTGTGATTTTGAACAGATTTATACAATCACAACTACCTTCTTTGTTCTTCACCATCCCAATCTGCTTCAAGCCAATGTGTGATTCTCTGCTGTATCTGTCCTCAGGAGTGCCTGAGCACAGTATCAGAAATGGAGACATTACCTTACATTCAGGCTGTTAAATATTAAGCACAGATCAAAACACATAAACGGAGTGTTAATAAACGACAGGCCACTGAGCCAGGTTTCACTTTGATCCAGTCAAAAACACTGTGATACATGGAGCTGTTTTATCTGTAAGCACAAACATAAGGGCACAAAATGACTAAATGTTTAAAATATATATCAAAGTGTTTTGAACGCTGTGAGAGAGTGACACAAATTGCTGCCATCGACTTTACCAGATAAACCTTTAATATCATTGCAAGCTTTTGTGAAAATGTCAATAACAAGACACTTGGATGTTGTTTATTCACTCACAGGGTGTGAGCATCACTAGCTAGGCATTTATTGCCTGCCCCTAATTGTGCAGAGGGCAGTTACAAATCAACCACATTGCTGAGAGTCTGGAGTCACATGTAGACCACACCAGGGGTAAAGATAGCAATTTGCGTCCCTAAAGGACATCAGTGAACAAATTAGTTTTCCCAACAATTGACAATGGATTCATGCTCTCCATTAGACTGTTAATTCCAGATTTTTACTGAATTCAAATTCCACCATCTGCTGTGGCAGATTTGAACCCAGGTCCCCGAATTAATAGTCTAACAATGTTACTCCTTGGCTATCAACCCATGTGCCCCTTGGTTGTTGAAGTCTCCTTTGGTCATAAAATGAGAGAGAGAGCAGGAAAGAAGGCCATATTAAATAAATCTCAGAATTATTATGATGAAAAAAGGGTCTGATGGTATCTGTATTTGTAAATTACTGTAGGAAGTTTATACAGACACACATTGTCAAAGTAGGCTGCTGTGGTTTGAGCGAAAAATTTGGGTGTTTCACTGAATAATTTTAGCTCAATTCGGCTTTTGATTGGACAGTTATATTGGTGTTAATGAAAGATCCAGCCATTGGATTTGATTGTAACACGTGGACTGTAACAGATTGTAACATGCGTATTGTTTGTCCAGGCTTTAGAAATATAGTAATGCTTAATTTCAGCTTGGAATGTTTCATTATTTCTTGTAATTCTTTTTCCTGACCAATTGGATAAGCTGTCAGAGGTAGAAGAGTGGATCAGAATGGATAAGGGGCTGTTCCAGCTGGGGGGTGGTCTCTGTGCTGTCTCACAGATGAATGTTACAGCCCAACAATAAAGCTTCAAATCCCGAAACTCCGTAACAGACAGAGGGAACCAAACAAATATATTGCCAGCTCCGGAAATGCTGCAGCCATAGCTCCACACCTTTCAGCACTGGCTCCAAACACTTCTTCCAAACCTCCTGTGAAAGCAGTTACATTCTCTTAGAATTTATCACAACAGCAAAGAAGCAAATCCACTCTCTGATCACGTGGTAAACCAAGTCATAACTCCAGACCCCTCACCCTGTGCCCCTCAGTCCCACACCACCCCCCCACCTCAGTCCTGCATCCTTGTGCCCCAGTGCTGCCTCCATGACCCTTGGTGCCCCTCAATGCCACCCCCCACCCACCCGAGCTTTCAGCCCTGCCCCACCCCTCTATCTAACCAAAGACTCCAAGGAAGAGAAACAAACTCGGCCTGGAGTCTCCATCTGAGAACAACAAATGCTGGAAATCACAGCGGTTACACGACACCAGGTTCTCATCCAACAGGTTTACTTGAAATCACAAGTTTTCAGAGCACTGCTCCTTCATCAGGTGAAGCAAAAAAAAACATACAGGCACAGAATTTAAAGGCAGAGAGATCAATGGGCAGAGAGATCCAAAAATCATACAAATGGTGCGAGTCTTATTATTTGGCCTCTTGACACTGCACTCACACCATCTGTATGATTTTTTTTTAATCTCTCTGTCCATTGATCTCTCTGCCTTTACGTTCTGTGCCTGTATGCTTTTCTTCACTCCATCTGATGAAGGGGCAGCACTTTGAAAGCTTGTGATTTCATATTGGGAGCAGGCGGAGGCCATTCGGCCCTTTGTGCCTGCTCCACCATTCTTCACGATCATGGCTGATCGTCCAACTCAATAGCCTAATCCTCATCGTTCTCCCCATAACCTTTGATCCCATTTTCCCCAACCGCCTCTTGAATATTTTCAATGTTTTGGCATCAACTACTCCCTGTGGTAATGAATTCCACAGACTCACCACTCTTTGGATGAAGAAATGTCTCCTCATCTCTGTCCTAAATGGTCCCCCCGAAATCCTCAGTCTGTGATCCCTGGTTCTGGACACACCCACCATCGGGAACATCCTCCCTGCATCTACCCTGTCCAGTCCTGTTAGAATTGTATAAGTCTCTGAGATTCCCCTCATTCATCTGAACTCCAGTGAAAACAACCCTAACCTAGTCAATCTCTCCTCATACGTCAGACCTGCCATCCTCGGAATCAGCCTGGTAAACCTTCGCTGCACTCCCTCGAGAGCAAGAGCATCCTTCCTCAGAAAAGGAGACCAAAACTGCACACAATATTCCAGGTTGTGGTCTCACCAAGGCCCTGTGTAACTGCAACAACACATCCCTGCTCCTGTACTCGAAACCTCTCACAATGAAGGCCAACATACCATTTACCTTCTTTACCACCTGCTGCCCCTGCATGCTTACCTTCAGCTAATGGTGCACAAGGACACCCAGGTCCCACTGCACACTCCCCTCTCCCAATTTACAGCCAATCAGGTAGTAATCTGCGACAACAAGGTGCAGGGCTGGATGAACACAGCAGGCCAAGCAGCATCATAGGAGCAGAGAGGCTGACGTTTCGGGCCTAGACCCTTCATCAGAAAAGGGGGAGGGGAAGGGGGTTTTGAAATAAATAGGGAGAGAGTGGGAGGCGGATAGAAGAGGGATAAAGGAGAGGATAGGTGGAGAGGAAACAGACAGTAATCTGCCTTCTGTTTTGCTTCCAAAGTGAATAACCTCACATTTATCCAAATTATACCGCATCTGCCATTGATTTACCCACTCACCCAACCTGGCCAGATCATGCTGAAAGATCTCTGCATCCTCGTCACAGTTCACCCTCCCACCCAACTCGGTATCATCTGTAAACTTTGAGATGTTACATTTTGTTCCCTCATCCAAATCATGAATATATATTGTGAATATCTGGGGTCCCAGCACCGATCCCTGTGGCACCCCACTAGTTACTGTCTGACAATTTGAAAAGGTCCCATTAATTCCTACTCTTTGTTTCCTTTCTGCCAACCAGTTTTCTATCACCTCAGTACACTTCCCCCAATCCCATACACTTTAATCTGGCAGATTAATCTCTTATGCGGGACTTTATCAAATGCTTTCTGAAAGTCCAAGGTTCAAATAAACCTGTGGAATGTAACCTGTCATGTGGCTTCTGACCTTGTCCACCTCAGCCCAACCTCCACATCATCACAGCATCCATGGAGAGAGAGCAAGCTAACGTTTCAAGCCTAGATGACTCTTCATTGTCATCTGAAGAAGAGTCATCTAGACTCGAAACATTAGCTTGCTGTCTCTCCATAGATGCTGCCTGAGCCACTTTGATCTCAGCACCTGCACTGACTTGTTCCTCCAGAGTCTCCATCCATCCCCAAGACAGAACTGCCCACTCACCATTGCCACTGAAACTTCCCTTGCTCCCTCAGGCCCACTGACCATCGTCCTCCTCCTCTGTAATCTCCCTGAAGATGGACTGGGTTTCCTGGCTCAGGGAGCACGCGATTGCCTGCAACTCCACCTTAGAGGCAGGAGGCAGCACTGCCTTTAACTCCGAGTCAATGACCTCGATACGCTGCTGGATCCGAGTCTCAAACTGCTCCTTGTTGCTCAGCACCCGCTCCATGATCATCTGACGGGCCTCAGCACAGCCTTGCTGTAGCAGCTGCCGTTCACTCTGGAATTCAGCATCTTCAGGGTCAAGGGTGATTAGCCGGCCCAGGCTGGTCACTCGGTCCATCAGATACTTGCTAGAAATCTCCACATAGGTTCTGGAGATCATATTGACCAGGTGGGATATGTTGGTTGCCTGAAAGGCTTGGGCATAAATTAAATCTCGGATGTGTTGCTGCTGGTTGTACCCCTTGATTGCTTGGATCTCGTCACTGTCAGTGACAAACTTTTTCAGGGTTTTGGTGAGGCAAATATGGATCAAGTTGGAAACCATTTCGAAGAAGCGAATCATCTTGGTCCATTGCTCTCTCACCCGCCCCAAGGCATCCAGACCTTGGGTCAACATCTTCAACGTCACATCAAAGTCAATCTTTGTCACCTGACATTTCCTCATCATAGTCAGGATTTCATCCAGCTCCTTGTTACTCTGCTTCATTGCTTCGAAGCTCCTCTCATACTCTGTCCGGGTGTTATCCAAATGTGCCTTGGCATTCTCAATCTTTAATCTGGCCTGGGTCACCACGGTGTGCACCATGCTCTTGTCCTCAGGATCCTGCTCCCCTGCTGCCTTGGAGAGGTTTGGGGCAGTCTGGGGGAGTACTGTCGAGTTGTTGGTGGTCATGCAGCCTGCACTGAACTTGACCACTTTCCCATAGAGCTCCCCGATCCTCACAGCCACCCGCTCCATCTGCTCCTCACTCGGCTTCTCACACTGTCCAATCTCCTCCAGCTTCTCACAGATGGCAATGCCCTTCCTGCACAAAGTCAGCGCTGCTTCCTTGGGGCTGCAGTCCTCCTCCAGATTGATCTCGGTTTTAATCCTCTGGAACATGTGCCTTGAGATGTCGGAGTTCACACTGCCAGTCACACGATCCAGGAGTTTATCCAGATTCAGTTTGGCATCATCCGACAGCAGGTCCTGAAGTTTGATAGTGGCTAACAGCAGCTCACTGGATTTTGAGAGCACACTGCTGGCAGCCACAGGGTCCAGCTCTGGTTGCTGGCTGGGAGCTTTTGCTTGCTCTTTATTCTTCACTTTTTCAGCAATGACATTGCTAACATTAGCCAAGGTCTCCACCACTGTGGTAGACAGGCTCACTGGGTCTGCCGTCACCATTGACATGAAGCCACTCACCAGGTTGCTGACCATATTGATTGAATTCTCCACGGCAAACATGCCCATGACCCCCCACTCACTGGGAGCAGACTCCAGTGCCCTCTTGTAGGCATCATGGGCCTCCTCGACCTGTTTGTTCATTCTGGTGAAATATTCATCTGCCTGCCTCTTCTCTTTCTCTGCTGTGGCCTTTCGAAGTTTGGCATCCTCCAGGGAATGCTGAACTACCTTGCATTCCTCCTCATACATGCCCTTGGCGCTGGTGCAAGCCTCCAGCAACTCATGGATCAAGTCAGTAACAGAGGAGAAGCTTTTCTCTACCTCCTGGGCTAGGCCAACACAGTCATCAGCAACAGCCTTAATGCTGCCCAACTGCAGAGGGAGCAACCTCTCCATACTCTGCTGCTCACCTTGCATCAAGGTCTTCACTGCATTCTTCAGGTGCATAGGAACACTCTGGGAGTGAAGCCGGATCTGGTCCATGTTTTTATGAGCCAAGTTAAAACACTTCCAGCCCTGGTTACTGACCTGCATCAGGCAGGTACGGAATGATTCAGGATATTTGATGTGTTGATATTGCCTGTCTGGGGTGTGCTTGTTTACAGGGAAATCAGTCGTGGAAGAGATGATGATTAATTCCCCGAGGATTGCAACTGACATTGGAGCTGGCATCAGGAACTCCTCCCAGTTGGCATAAGGTTGCATCATAAGCAGGTTGTCCCTCTTCACTTCCTCAGCCTTGCTGAGTTTCAAGAAGGCACTGTTAATATTTGCCAAAAGATTCTCATCTTTCCCAGCCATGGTGACTACTGCTGGTGTCTGAGGGTGGGGGAGAGGGGAAGGGTTGGCCAGAGAGAGAGACACACAGAGAGAGCGAACTGTTACAATCATTACACTAGACCAGCTGTTATTCATTGCCACTTGCTCACACTAACAGGCTACTCGCAGAAAAATACTTCCCACTGCACAAAACCTCACCAATTTGTGCACAGTATGAGTCCACAGGCAACCACTCCTTGATCAGGGCCTTTAGGCCGACCTCCCCAGGTCAGCATCCTTGCAATGACCCCCACCCCAGGTCAGAGTCCTGGAGATAACTCCCACTCCCTCTCCCCTTTCCCCCCACCCCAGGTCTAGAGATCTCAGACTGACTGTTTCTCAATTAGAGACAAAAAAAAAATGCTGCAGATGCTGGAATCCAAGATAGACAAACAAGTGGCTGGAAGAACACAGCATGCCAGGCAGCATTGGAGGAAAGGAGCAGTCAACGTTTTGGGTATAGAAGGGTAACACCCGAAATGTTGACTGCCCCTTTCCTCCAGATGCTGCCTGGCTTGCTGTGTTCTTCCAGGGCTGTCTTTCAGGTTTGATCATGAAGCACTTCCACGCACAAAGGGCTGTAAATGCTTGGAACTCTCTCCCACAAACAGCAGTGGGTGCAGGATCAGTTATTAATTTTAAATTTGGGCCGGATAATTTTTGCTAACTGTAGGTATTAAGGGACTTGGGCCAAAGGCAGGAAATGGAATTAGACCATGGGTCAGCCACAATCACATTGAATGGTGGAACAGGCTCAAAAAATTGAATAGTTTATTCCTGTTCCAATGATCTGCACCAGGAGCACACTGTCCATGAATTGGGGATCTCCTTCTTTCTTAGAAAGTATTCACTTCACAAAACAAAGAAGTGAAACAGCAAATATGAACCCAATCAGAATGATCACTGGAGTTTAGCTTCAGGAACAGAGTGTCACTGACTGGGTCAGTCTGTACTGTCCCTCCTGATTGCTGTTGAGGAGGTGGTGGGTGGTCGCTGCCCTCTGTCTGGTTTTGCTGAGCCATTTCACAAAGCTATGGTTCTGAGTCTCCTTGGTCAGACCAGGTGAGGATTGCAGCTTTTGTTCACTTTTGTGAACCTGTTTTTTTTTTGCCAATTACAGAGCTTGGCCTTTTAGTGTAAATTTGTTATCTCAATTCAAATTCCCCAGCTCCCACAATCGGGGATCTGAATTCCTGGCCCCAATGGTCCTGGTCTCGGGAACACCACAACGGCAATAACCGTCCTATTCCCATACTGCACAAAGATCATTGGTAGAAACTAGTTGATTGACAGTGTGAGATACTTACAATATTGCAGTCAGTCAGTTTCAGAATTGTCCAGGATCTCAATGCTATTTCCAGGCGGTCAACTTCAGCTCCGTCTGCCGTTACAACGTCAAGTGGGGACCAGTCAGGTTCAGCGGGGACCAGTGTTACACCGTTTCCTTCGGTGAGAGACCCTGAACCCCAATAGTTACACTGTTTCCT